CAGTTGTTTATGTGACACTACAGTTGTTTATGTGACACTACAGTTGTTTATGTGACACTACAGTTGTTTATGTGACACTACAGTTGTTTATGTGACACTACAGTTGTTTATGTGACACTACAGTTGTTTATGTGACACTACAGTTGTTTATGTGACACTACAGTTGTTTATGTGACAGTGTTCACCAACACATCTCATAGAACGTGAAAGAGAAGTTAAAAACCTGGCCGTCACTCAGCTCCTGGACCAGATTCATGGACCGCCTTATTAATAAAGTTGAAAGTAGCAGTAGCACGAGGCCTCAGTATTCCTGGAGAAAGAGCGTAGGTCTACGTGAAGCACCGGAGGCCTTGAAGACTGCATAGGTCTACGTGAAGCACCGGAGGCCTTGAAGACTGCGTAGGTCTACGTGAAGCACCGGAGGCCTTGAAGACTGCGTAAGTCTACGTGAAGCACCGGAGGCCTTGAAGACTGCGTAGGTCTACGTGAAGCACCGGAGGCCTTGAAGACTGCGTAGGTCTACGTGAAGCACCGGAGGCCTTGAAGACTGCATGGGTCTACGTGAAGCACCGGAGGCCTTGAAGACTGCGTAGGTCTACGTGAAGCACCGGAGGCATTGAAGACTGCGTAGGGCTACGTGAAGCACCGGAGGCCTTGAAGACTGCGTAGGTCTACGTGAAGCACTGGAGGCCTTGAAGACTGCGTAGGTCTACGTGAAGCACCGGAGGCCTTAAAGACGCAAAATTACTCCTTTGTAAAAGGGCGGGTAGTGACCCTTATTTTAAAAAATTTAGATCAGTACCCCCCCAAACCTTCTCACATTGTAAAAATCTTGAAAAGGAGAGAGACGGCAGTTACAAATATCAGGGAGCCACAACCCGAACCAGCATGGTTTAGACAGGACATCATCCTGCACAGCTGCGAACCATTATGCGAATTACGGGGCACTACGATCATGCCTCCACGGCTGAACCTTTATGACGAATTACGGAGGACTACGTCTCCGTCAAGCGTAACCATTATGCAGAATTAGGGAGGTTTCTACGATCATGCCTGTAAAAGGGCTGCTGAACCTTTGACAGAATTACGGAGGACTACGATATGCCTGAACGCTGAACCATTATGACAGAATTACGGGGGGTACTAACGATCATGCCTGCAAGCTGCTGAACCATTTGACAGAATTCGGAGGCACTACGATCATGCCGACGCTGCTGAACCATTATACAGAATTACGGGGTACAACGATAACCTGTCACAGCTGCTAACCTTTACAAATTACGGGGTACTCGACATGCCTGTCACACTGCTGAACCATAAACAAAAATTTAGGGAGGCAACTACGACATCCTTACCTGCTAACCCCATCATTACAGAATTACGGAGGCACTACGATCATCCGTCACAGCTGCTAACCATTTTGACAGAATTACGGGGCATACGATCATGCCTGCCCACAGCTGCTAAAACCTTATGACCAAATTCGGAGGCCTACGATCATGCCTGTCAAAGCTGCTGAACCATTATGACAAATTAGGAGGTACTAGATCACCTGCCAGCTGTGAACCTTTGCAAATTGGGAGGCCTACACATGTTTTCACGTTTGCAACCTTCATTACAGAATTCGGAGGCACTAGATCAAGCCGTCACAGCGTGTACCATTATGAAGTTACGGGGCCTACGATCATCCCTGTACACTGCTAAACCCTTATACAGAATTACGGAGGAAAAAAAGATCATGCCTGCAAAGCGCTAAACCATCATTACGAATAGGAGGCATACATCATGCCTGTACAGTGTAAACCATTATGACAGAATTCGGAGGCACTACGATCATCTGTCACAGTGTTTAAACCCTTTATGACGAATTACGGGGTTTACATATGCCTGTCACAGCTGCTAAAACAATGCAGAATTAGGGGAGGCACTACGATCATGCCTGTACACTCCCCTTTGCAGAATTACGGAGGCACGGAAGACGACCAAAACGAGATGTGTTTGCACAGATTTTGCAAAAGGGGGTTTGACGAATGCGATCATGGATGATAGTCTAAATGAGGGCCTAGCATTACTGGGGGGAAAGGGAGGGAGATGGATTTCGGGTTTTCCTAACATAGAACCAAAAAGTAGTACTAAAAAAGCAAGATCCCCGCATCGGCGAGGGAAAAATTCCCCCAAAGGGACTGTCTTGGGGAAACCTCCTTGTTTTCATCCCCATAGCAACTAATTTTAAAAAAAACCGTCACGGTTTTGTATCACATTTGCAGCGACCTAAAAAAAGCCTGAAAATCAGTGGAGAACAACTTTTGTTCAGTGGTGATAAATTCCCGCTGCTTCGTACAAAAAAAAATGAAGAAACTCGAAAAGGAACAATGTATTAAGACTTGGGGTCATCAAATAGAACGAAAAGAAACAAAATTGTGTAGCTGACCCCGTTTTCAAAAAAAATAAAACAGCCAGGGAGACCGGGTGAGAATGAGAACTTTCAAAAAAGGAAAAAATGGAGTGGTGACACTCTTCAAATCGCTAGTGCTCCCTCGTCTGGAATTTGCTCAGTGTTGCGACCCCGTTCACGGTAGGAGATATATCAAGTGGAACAAATCAGGATCGTTTACAGCACAGATTGAGCCAGTAAAGCATTTAAAATTAATGGGGGGTCACCTTTCCTTTTGGGAGCCAGTCATAGCCCCTAGTGAAAATGGGGTAAGGTTCAGTGTGTGAGGTGTCAGATAAGAAAAAAGAACAAAGAACGAAGGAACACTGAAAAAGCCCTATGGCCCATGCAGGCAGGTCCAAGTCCCTACCGGTTTTAACCCAAATGCCCCCAACCAGTCAGGTCAGGCACATTGACTTAAGGGGGAACACGGCAACCGACCGGTACCCCAAACCCCATCAGGTCCGACTCACACCCACCCACTTTCCATGTATTTATCTAACTTTTTTTAAAGCTGCAAAACGTTTGGCCTCATAACGTACTGGGGATTTGTTCCCCCACCAAAACTCTATTACCAAACCAAAATTTTCCTATATCCTTCCGAACAAATTTTTTCCAAACTTAAAACCATTGCTGCGGCCCTGTCTAGGCTAGATTTTTCGCACACTTTTTTACACCCCCTTTATTTTTCCCGTCTTCCATTTATACCCCTCAATCATTCCCCCCTAATTCTCGTCTTTCTAGAAGTGAAAGTTCGGGCCCTTTAGTCTATCCTATAGGGGAAGGGTTTTTGAACTGGGGGTCAACTTTGTCTCCTCCCTTTTTACTTTTCCAGGAATTTTATCCATTTTTGTAAACGGTGACCAAAATGTGCAGCATAATCTAAATGGAAAGGCCAACCAAGATGAAGAGTTTAAGAACAACCTGAGGGCCCTATTATTTATCTTTTATTGAAGCCCAAAGGGTTTATTAGCTTTTTTCGAACCTTTTGCATGTTGTCTTGGTTTCAGATTACTGCTAACCAGAATCCCAAATCTTTTTGCAATCCGTAAAATTAAATCGACATTTATTTTGTTTATATTGGGATGGTTATTGTCCGTCCAACATTTAAAATTTGATTTTTCATATTAAAATGCATCTGCCCCTTCTCCGACCAAGATCATCTATTAAATCTTTCCCGGAGGCTCGAATGTCCTCGTCAGAATGAATTTTGACGGCCCATTTGGTGTCATCGGCAAACTTGCCGATTTGCTCTTTTTGCCCTCACTTTTGTTTATGTAGGGTTTTGAACAGCAGGGGGCCCAACATGACCCCTGTGGGGAAAACCGCTCGTGACGCTTTCCCCCTCTGATTTTTCCCCATTTTTTGCAAACTCTCTGTGCCTATTTGTCAACCATGCCTCTATCAGGAAAAAATTCTCCTCCTATTCCATGTGCTTTAATTTTCCTCAATAGTCTCTGATGTGGGACCCTGTCAAAAGCCTTACTGAAGTCCATATACACAATATCATATTCATTACCATGATCTACCTCCTCAAATACCTTAGTGAAAAAAGTTAAAAATTTTTCGTAAGGCAGGAACGCCCCTTTGTAAAACCATGCTGAGATTCGTTGATTAATTATGCTTTTCAAGGTGGCTTACGAACTCCCTGGGCAATTATTGATTCCATAAATTTTCCCACTATGGAGGTTAGGCTTATTGGTCTATAGTTTCGAAGCTAAGGACCTGTAAACCTGCTTTGAAAATGGGTATCACATTTGCCATTTTCCACTTATCTGGCACCATGCCAGTTTGTAGTGATATGTTGAAAAGATTAGCCAAAGGTGTGCTAAGCTCCTCTTTACATTCCTTTAGAACCCTTGCATACAGTTCATCAGGGCCTGGGGATTTGTTAGGTTTTAATTTATCTATTTGCCTAAGAACCATGTCACTTGTGACCCTAATAGTGCACAGTTTATTATCGTCCTGTTCTACATAATTTATCATTACTGGAATATCGCTGGTATCCTCCTGTGTGAGGTGTCAGATAGTGTGAGGTGTCATGAGATAGTGTGAGGTGTCAGATAGTGTGAGGTGTCAGATAGCAGGTGACTGACGACCTTCAAAAATGTAACCAAGATCATTATTGCTGCCGCTTGTGTATGTAGTAACTGCAGTATAATGCAGTATACTGCAGTATACTGCAGTATACTGTAGTATACTGTAGTATACTGTAATATACACTAGTCAAGTAGTCATCTGAGGCTACACTGTGAGTGACCTATTATATAAGGGAATAGTGACTAAGCCATGTGTGTTACAGGTGTTACTAAGCCATGTGTGTTACAGGTGTTACTAAGCCATGTGTGTTACAGGTGTTACTAAGCCATGTGTGTTACAGGTGTTACTAAGCCATGTGTGTTACAGGTGTTACTAAGCCATGTGTGTTACAGGTGTTACTAAGCCATGTGTGTTACAGGTGTTACTAAGCCATGTCTGTTACAGGTGTTACTAAGCCATGTCTGTTACAGGTGTTACTAAGCCATGTCTGTTACAGGTGTTACTAAGCCATGTGTGTGTGTTTCAGGTGTTCTGCCCGAGCGTGACCATGTTGGAGACGACCACTATGAACGACAACACCCGCGACAACACCCGCGACAGCACCCACGACAACACCCACGACAATACCATCCCAGCCAAGTTCGTTATAGGCGCCAGTGACGACGATTTTGAGGAACCAGAAGCGAAGGAGACGGTTTTGGTAAGCCTGATTGTACCTTTGTTATGTATGAGTGTACCTTTGGTAGGTGTTCAGTTTGTGGTAGACACAGTGTTGTGGTCATATTCACTAGTTCCCATACCACTGAAGTTACTGTTAACACGGTAGTGTGCAGGGTTCTTGCTAGTTCCTCAATATCTTTCACGTGTATATTGTATCTTGCTCGCCTTCTCTGTATTAAATGCATATCCAGTTCTAGTCATTCCTAGCAGTTTAAATATTGCATTGGTTGCATGAGGGTAGTTAATGTTCTCTGTGTTCAACTGTGTGTTCTCTTCTGCCTTGCATGGAGTCGTCAACGCTGAACGGTACTCAGAGCGAGAGAGCACATGTGGTTCCAATAGTGTCATTAACATCGTTTCACTTGTTCTCATTGTTTCATTATCCACTGTTTCACTTTCCTGGCTTTCACAGCATTTACCTTCTTGTATTATTTAAAAGAAAGGTCAGCTGGCATTATTGTAGCCAGATCTTTTCCAAGTTCTGGTCTCCCTCTGTTGGAATCTCATTTTATCCACATCTCAGCAATTGGGAAAATATCCCAGTGAACATGGTTTTGTGTCTAGCGCCCTCCAAAACATTTTGTTTACTCCCCGTGTATTTTTGGGTCCTCTTAAAGGGGTAAAAAATTTTAAAAATCCTTCCCGTTTGAACTTTTTTTGTGCTGTCTTTCCTTACATATTTACAATCTTGAGGTGGGTGGGGGAGGGGGGAGGTGGGGGGGTGGGGGGTGTGTTTAAGGGGAGGGGTGGTATATAAACTATGCAGTGTTCATTGGCCCGGTCTGCCCCCGTGTTCATCCTTACGCACTCAACTCACAACTAAAGTCCGGGATCGAATCCCCGGTACGGCTGGAAAACATTGGGACGTTTTTTTTAAAAAACCCCTGTTGTCCATGTTCCCCTTTAGTAAAGGTACCGGGGTGTTAGTGGACGGTGTGGGTCGCACCTGGGACAAAATGACCTAATATGCGGGAAATCTCGCATAACAAGCGGCTATATAGTATATTTCGTGATTCAGCTCTCTCTCTCTCTTCTCCCCTCTTTCCTCTCTCCCCTCTCCTCTCTTCTCCCCCTCTCCTCTCTCTCTTTCCCCTCTCTCTCTTCCCTCTCTCTCTCTCTCCTTTCCCCTCTCTCTCTCTTCTCTTCCTCCCCTCTCTCTCTCCTCTCTCTCTCTCTTTTTTCTCTCTCCTCTCTTCTCCTCTCTCTCTCTCCCCCTCTCTCCTCTCCCCTCTCTCCTCTCTCTCTCTTCTCTCTTCTCTCTTCTCTCTCTTCTTCCCCTTCTCTCTCTCTCTCCCCCCTCTCTCCCTTCTTCTCTCTCTTTCCTCTCTCTCTCTCTCTTCCCCCTCTCCCCCCTTTTCCCTCCTCTCTCTCTCTCTCCTCTCTCTCTCTCCTCTCTCTCTTCTCTCTCTCTCTCTCCCTTTTTTTTTTTTTTTTTTTTTTTACCGGGGTTTGAAAATTAAGGATCCCAGCTTTATTGACAGTATATTACAGGTTAAGGGTTCCCAAACTTTATTGGCAAGCAAGAGCTGTTCCCTACACCAGCTCTTTTGAAACTTTTTATTGTTATGGACAAAAGTAGGGAACAGATGAAGTTGGGAGCCATTGGGGGCCACTTTTCATTTATCAACTGATTTATCTCGTTGACATCATTATCTGTACAAATTTGGTTCCAATCGGTCATCCGGGGTTGTATGATCTCAGATGGATGATGTTCTGGAAAAGGGTACAGCCAAATAAGTTGCTGCTTTCGCCCGTCTTGTGGCATAAAAGTTTGTTTCACGCTTCCTCGAAGTGGCCCAAAATGTGGTATTTGCAATATTGGCCTTGTACAAACAGTAAGGCCCCCCCCACATCCCCCCTATTTGAAGGCCCTGCTGAAATGACAGATATACCGGATGGGTAGATCTCTCCCCCTTTTCCTCTCTCTCTCTCCCCCCTCTCTCTCTCTCTCTCTCTCTCTTCTCTCTCTCTCTCTCTCTCTCTTCTCTCTTCTCTCTCCCCCCTCTCTCTCTCCTTCTCTCTCTCCTCTCTCTCTCTCTTCTCTCTCTCTCTCTCTCTCCCCTCCCCTTCTCTTCTCTCTCTTCTCCTCTCTTGTTTTACAAGGGTTTGAAAAGGTTTTAAGGATCCCTAGCTTTTTGACAGCTATTACAGGTTAAGGGATTCCTAACTTTATTGGCAAGCTAAGACTGTTCCCTACATCGCCATTTAAAAACATTTTTATTGTTATAAACATACAAGTAGGGGACGGGATAAGGGGGAGCCATCTGTGGGCCAGCATTTTCATTTATCAACTACTTTTACTCTTTGACATCATTATGTGTACAATGTGTTCCATACTCGAGTCTCCGGGTAGTATGATTCAATGGAGTGATGTTTGGAGAAGGGTACCCAGAGTGAAGTTGCTGCTTTCTGCCCGCTTGTGGAAAAAACTGTTTCACGTGTTCTCCTCTCTCTCTCCCCTCTCCTCTCTTCCTTCTCTCCCCTCTCTCTCCCCTCTCTTCTCTTTCTCTCTCTCTCTCTCCCTCTCTCCTCTCCCCCTCCCTCCACCTCCCCTCTCTCCCCTCCCTCTCTCCCCCTCTTCTCTCTCCCCTCTCTCCCCTCTCTTTTTCTCCTCTCTCTCTCCCCCTCTCTCTCTCTCTCTCCCCTCCCCCCTCCCTCTCCCCTCTCTCTCTCTCTCTCTCTCTCTTCTCCCCTCTCTCTCTCTTCTCCTCTCTCTCTCTCTCTCTCTCTCCCCTTCTTCTCTTCTCTCTCCCCCCCTCTCTCTCTCTCCCCCTCTCTCTCTCCTCTCTCCTCTCCCTCCCTCTCCCCTCTCTCTCTCCCCTTCTTCTCTCTCTCTCCCCTCTCTCTCTCTCTCCCTCCCTCTCCCTCTCTCTCTCCTCTCTCTCTCTTCTCTCTTCCCTCTCTCTCTCTCTCTCTCCCCCCCTTCTCTTCCCCTCTCTCTCCCCTCTCTCTCCCCTCTCCCCTTCTCTTCTCTCTCTCTCTCCTTCTCCTCTTTTTCCCCTCTCTTCTCTCTCTCTCCCCTCTCTCTCTCTCTCTCTCTCTCCCTCCCTCTCCCTCTCTCTCTCTTCTCTCCTCTCTCTTCTCTTCTCCTCCTCTCTCTCTCTCTCTCTCTCTCTCTCTCTCTCCTCCTCTCTCACCCCCACCTTCACCCCCTGCAGGTTGCAGGGTAAACCTGTCATACAACACACACTTGCTTGCTTCCCCCCACACACGCCCCCTCATAAAAAAAACAATTCCCTTTTACAACACCACTTTTCCCTTGTAAAACCCCTTCAATATTTTGCTAACCTGTCTATTATTCCCGTTGTATGTTCCTTCTTTCACGTGTACGTATTGCGTAAGCAGGAAACCCCAAGGAAAAAAAGATAAAAGAGACAGAAATGCCAGGAAAAGGGTAGAGAGTGAAATTAGGATCAGTGAAGAACAGCAACTATAAAAAAAAATACAGACTTAAAAAAGTTCGACAGTTGGAGGGGGAGGAGGTGCAACTCTCTCAAGAACAAAACCGAGATGGATTTTTATTTGTAAACCCGGATGTATCACTATATGCCAACATGTCGGACCCGAGCAGCCCCGGATTATAAAAAGGGAGGGTGAAATTTTCCATCAACACAAATGCACTGAAAGAAAAGGGAATATAGAAACGAGATAATGGAAGACACGGAACCGGTTCCACAGCCAGGGGGAAACCCACCATCCACACTAACAAAACTTTCACAGAAGGTATACAGTATCCCCAAAAATAAAGAATTGCAACAGTCAACATCTGGTATCTTTATTCATAGACATTCACCATCCATACTTCATTAGTACAGTACAAGGGCAAATGTGAAGACTGTAGAACTATATACAAAAGATGAGGTAATCAGTCCCTCACCTTGAGCACCGCAGACTTCAAGAATCTACGCGCTACATAAACACCCTTAATCATCATTTCTCCTTCCCTTTTTTTCTAGCATTCAAGATTGAAAACAAATAAGAAGAGAGTTAAAAGTATCAGTTGGCTGGTATATATATATATATATATATATATATATATATATATATATATATATATATATATATATTATATATATATATATATATATATTTATATATATATATACATAATGTGTGTGATGTGTGTGTTAGTTACCATTTGGTCCTAGGCACATGTCGATTAGACACTAGGCCTGTGTGTGTGTGTGTGTGTGTATGTGTACTCACCTATTTGTGGTTGCAGGGGTCGATTCATAGCTCCTGGCCCCGCCTCTTCGCTGATTGCCACTAGGTCCTCACTCTCCCTGCTCCATGAGCTTTATCATACCTCGCCTTAAAACTATGTATGGTTCCCGCCTCCACTACTTCACTTTCTAGGCTATTCCTCGGCCTGACTACTCTGTGACTGAAGAAATACTTCCTAACATCCCTTTGATTCATCTGAGTCTTCAACTTCCAATTGTGACCTCTTGTTTCTGTGTCCCATCTCTGGAACATCCCGTCTTTGTCCACCTTGTCTATCCCGTGCAGTATTTTATATGTCGTTAGCATGTCTCCCCTGACCCTCCTGTCCTCCAGTGTCGTCAGGCCGATTTCCCTTAAACTTTCTTCGTAGGACAATCCCCGTAGCTCTGGGACTAGTCTTGTTGCAAACCTTTGCACTTTCTCTAATTTCTTGACGTGCTTGACTAGGTGTAGATTCCAAACTGGTGCTACATACTCCAGTATGGGCCTGACGTAAATGGTATACAGAGTCTTGAACGAATCCTTACTGAGGTATCGGGACGCTATCCGTAGGCTTGCCAGGCGCCCGTATGCTGCAGCAGTTATCTGATTGATGTGCGCCTCAGGAGATGTGCTCGGTGTTATACTCACCCCCAGATCTTTTTCCTTGAGTGAGGTTTGCAGTCTTTGGCCATCTAAACTATATTGTGTCTGCGGTCTTCTTTGCCCTTCCCCAATCTTCATGACTTTGCATTTGGCAGGGTTAAATTCAAGGAG